TGAGAAACTCTTCACTGCAATATTCTGGAAGCCACTGGCAAGAGAAAGGTTGCCTTGCTGGGCAAAAAGCTGTACTCTCAGCATTCAGGAGCTGGAGACAGGAGATTTTGGAGGGGTGTAAGGTCAGGTTCAGCTTTGTAAAAGCCTGTCAAAAACAAAACACCAAAACCAGTGAGATAGTTCAGCAGGTAAAGGTATTTCACTGAAGGTCCTTGTCACCGAGCCTGATGAACCCTGTTTGGCAAGATGAAAAGTGTTGGAGGGAGAATTGACGGGAAGCTGGCAGGCCAGCTACCCCAGAATATGTTAAGCAAAGACATAAACAAAAGATTATAGCCAGACAGTGATGGCACACGCCTTTAATCCCAGCACTCGGGAGGCCGAGGCAGGTGGATCTCTGTGAGTTTGAGGACAGCCTGGTCTACAGTTAGGATTCCAGGACAGCCAGAGTTGTCACACAGAGCAGCCCTGTCTCAAAAAAACAACAAACGTACAATCGCACCTCAACAAGGTGGAAAGCCAGAACTGACTCTTGACAGTTGCCCTCTGACCTCCATATGTGTGTCATAACATGTTCCATAAACTGGAACTCTGCCATTGAGGCAGAGGTGTAGCCTGGGAGAAAGGCTCTGATGTGCCAGCCAGCCTGGGTCCTCCCAGGTGGGGAAGAGGGGGATTACAGCATCCAAGCTCACCACTGTGGTCCTCTCCCTTTTCCTGGGATCAGCTACTGAAGGCAGCTTGGTAAAGGCTGCCCAGCAGACTGGGCTACAGCAGAATTCTTTGCCTCATGGGCCCTGCATTCAGGACTCTCGATCCCTGTGCATGGCTTCTCCTTTGGCTCTGAGGTCACAGAGGTCTCTGTGGCACTTGGAGTCGAAACTGAAGACATAACAAGCATACCTAGCATGCACGAGGCCTTGGGTTCAATCTCAGCACCTCCAAAAGCAAAGCAAAACAGAAAACACCTCGCCAAATCGGCGGGTGAGCATCGCTGAGTTTCAGAAGCCCAGCAGGCCAGCGTTAGCCACGCTCAGCTTCCTTTCTCTTCCTCTGGTTTACAGGAAGGGCCTGAGGGTTTCCGGTGTTGAGAGGAGTGCTAGGTGCTTTTATGCTGGTCCACACCTGTGTGCCCATCCGCAACGGCCCCAACCCCCAGTTCCCACTTGTCAGAACTAACTTCTTGCGACACAAGAAGATGCCATGTTCCTGTGTTTGCAGGGAGATAGAGTACTGCAATGCCTAGGATTAGAATGATTCTTGCAATTTCTAGACATTTCTTTTCCTTTTCCCCCTGGGCTGCGGGAGCTCTTCCCTCCTCCCTTCCTTGGCTGCTGCTGTGTGGGAGGAGCTGTGCCTTCCTTGGGACTGGTTCAGCTTTTGTTTGCTAAGGGCTTGGGGAAGTCAAGGAGCCAGCCCGAGCCTGTGAGATGGGACCAGCAGAGACAGAGGGATGGGCCTCTGGGATTTGCCACGTGGGACTTGCACATCCTGCCCCTGCTTCCCACGACATCCCTTGAGAAGTCTTTTCCTTGAGAGGGTTGTGGTGGCACCTGTCTTCAGAGAGTGTTGGAGACAGAGGCAGGTACGGGGCTGAGTCAAAGCTACCAGGTGGAGACAGGCCATCAGGACTGTCATTCCCATGCTTGAGATGGTACAGGTGGTGTGTGTATGTGTGCAGACGTGCACACATGAATCCTGGGATGGACCGCTTAAAATGGGGATACCTTTGTTTCCTGATTGGTCCACAGAACTGAGAGAGAGAAAAAAGAAAAAGAAAAAAAAAAAAAAAGATTTATGTGGCCCATTTCCAACCTCCTCCATCTGCCCATTATGCAGACACAGGAATTGGCTTTTTTACCCTTAGGGCCCGCTCTGTGTGTCCTTTATCAACTGTCCTAACCAGGAAAGTGATACCTGAAGTGGCTTCGTTGATGGTGCAACTCTTCTGTGCAGGGGTGCAGCGAAGGACAGGCCTAGGCAAGGGTGGGGTGCTGTCTCCTCAAAGCTGGGAGCTCTTCCATACCATCAGCACATTTTTGTCTAAAGTAGTGTTTTAGACTTGAGGCCATGAATCTCCAGTTTAAAGGGTTACAATCAGCATTAAAAAACTTAACCGGGGGTGGGGGGGGGTGGAGAGGGCTGGCTCTGAGGTGGCTCAAGCGGGCCAAGCACTTGGCCCCAACCGAGGCTTTGACCAGAGTGTGAACACCAGGACTTATATGGCGGTAGGGAGGAACTGACTCTTGCAAATTGTTCTAATTAAACTCCACATGTGCCCCATAATAATAAATAAGTAAGCATAATAAAAACAAGTAATAGAAGCTGCATATGGCGGAGCACGTCTGTAATTTCAGCACTTGAGAGACAGAGGCAGAAGGGTTAGGAGTTCAAGGTTACCCTCAGCTACATAGTGAGCCTGAGGCCAGTGTAGGTTACTGGAGACCCAATTTAAGGGGGGGGAGGGGAGAGTATGCTCCAGGGAGAAGGGTGGTTGCTCTGGTGACGTGCTCTAGCACCTGGGAAGCTGAGGGAGAATTCCAAGTTTGATGCTAGCTTGGAGCTTGGATTACACAGCAGATCCCTGTATTAAAATTAATAGCTAGGGCCAGCAAGTTGTCTCGGTAGTTAAGGGTGCTTTCTGTCAAGCTGAACAAACTGAGTTCGATCCCAGGGACCACATGTTGGAAGCAGAGAAGTGAGTTTTGCAGAATGTCCTCTGACCTTTGTTTTGTCTTTCGAGGCAGGATTTCTCTGTAGCTTTGGAGCCTGTTCTGGAACTCTCTGTGGACCAGGCTGGCCTCGAATGCTGCGATTATAGGTGAGGGCCACAACGCCTAGCTGTCCTCTGACCTTTACACTTCATGTCATGGCAGGTGCATGCAGTGCCACGTGTGAGTGCAGCACACACACACACACCACACACACCACTCACACACACCACACACAGTCACACTCACACACCACTCACAGTCACATACACTCACACATACACACCCATACACACACCACACACACCACTCACATGCACAGTCACACACACACACCACTCACACACACTCACACACACACACCACTCACAGTCACACTCACACACACACCACTCACAGTCACTCACACACACCACTCACACACACCACACACACACACTCACACACACATACCACACTCATATACACACATACACACACTCTCACACACCACACTCACACACGCTCTCTCAGAATACTTAAGTAATTAAAATCATTAAAAGAAACCCAAGTAGAGCAGAAGTATCAGAGCACATTGTCTGTTGGGATTAAGGATTGATGTGTATGTGTGTGTGGGTGTGTGTCATGTATTCAACAGGTTTGGGAGCTACTTGCTGGGAACCTTTACCATAACTATAATTTTGCCCAGTGTCTCTCCTTTGGCAGCATTTAATGTGTTTTAGTAGGCGAATGGTCAGCTTACTTCAGCCCGCATCAGACCCACAGGGGCGGGTGGCTTCGGCTCCAAGAGCTGTCATTTGAGGCACTGGGAGGGGCCTGATGACACCTGTTTCCAGGCCTGAAGCCCCTAACACCATGCAACGAATGCCTTTCCTCTTAGGACAGCAGATGGAGGGAGCGGCTTTCTGGACGGTTGCACTTCGGTGAGTCATCTCGAGATCCGCATGCACGTCTCCCTAAAATGCAGCAAACTGGATATGTCAGGCCACATAAATTCCCGGGAGAAATGTCTTTGTCCAGAAGCAGCGTGAGCGTGTTGTTCAGCGTTGCCATAGGGAACAGCCAGCTTTGCTTTTGAAATGCCCAGAGGAGAGCGCTCTGATTGGTTCTCTGTCCTGCTCATCACGTCTGCCCAGCAACTGGCACTGCGGCGCCCAGAACACTTGCCCCCAAAGTCGTGGCCCTGTTTGGGGTAAACTTCTTTATGTGGTCCGCTCTGATTCCCCAAAGGGCCTGGAGCTGCTGAGTGGGAGAAGGCTTTGAGGAGGAGGGAGGGGAGAGGGAGGGGGAGAGAGGAGAGAGGGAGAGAAAGGAGAGGAGGAGAGAGGGGGGAGGGAGGGAGGGCAGAGACCCGGGCCCGGGAGCTGGTCCCCGCTGGTGGACTCACCTACTCTTTCTGAAGGAGGCTTAGGAGCGCTGGCAGCGAATAAAAGGCACGCAGCCCTAGGAAACCCCAGGCTCTGCTCTGTACCTTGTGTCTGGTGGCGCTTTGGAAAGGACCCAAATGGTGCGGCCCAGAGAAGAGAGCCTTTCTGCATTTGGGTAGTGGACGGCACGAGGCCGCAGGACAGGGCTGGGGACACGGGGCGAGGCCTCAGAGCCCAGGGCCACCCTGACCAGGGCCGTGCAGCGCGGTGGCTGCGGTGTGACCCTCCATCTAAACTGTCTAACTCAGGACCCGGGCCTTGTGGCCCAGGTGGGGGCGCCACTGCCTAGCTGAGTCTGGCTAGCAGGGCGGCTGTCCGGGCTCCGGCACAGGCACCTGTTGGCGAAAGCATCCAGCGATGTCCTGCCAGGCTATCTAGGCTTCTAGAACATTCCACGAGCTAAGCGGGGGGGGGGGGGGAGATGGTGCTGGACTTCCTGCCTGTGTTCACGGCAGAGCACGTGGAGGGGCAGTGGCAGGCTGGCCACACGGGTCCCCGGCTCGGCCGAGGGACCCTGCGAGCTCCCTCGAGGAGGGGGCGTGCGCTCCGCTCCCAGCTGATTTGGAAGCGGTGTGGAGGGCCGGGCCTTGCTGAGGACGGGCCCCCGTTTGCTCCCGCCTTGCTATGGCAGGAGGGACCATCTGGGGGAGCCCTGCGAGCTCGGTGACCGCGATCCGGCAGGGAGAGGCCACGCCGGGGGCCTGGAGCAGTGCCCCGGCCCCGGCCCCGGCCCCCGGCCCCGGCCCATCCCCTGGGTGGGTGGAGGAGCCAGGGAGGGACTGTGCTGGACCTCGCTCCGGGAGCCGAGGCGGCCCGTGTGCAGGTGCGCGCCCCGCCGGGGGCCGAGTGCTCCGCGCGCGCGTCAGCGGCCGCCCGCGGCCCGGCGTCCTCCACAGGTGTGATGTGACGGTGGGGGAGCCGGAGCAGGCGGCGGCGTCGGGGCCGCCCGTCGAGGTGGCGGCGGCGGCGACGACGCGGGGCGCCCTCTTCGCCCGCCCGACTGCGCCCGGCTGGCTTTTTGACCCGGAAAGGCCGGGCCGCGGGCGGGGCGCGAGGGCGCGCGCGCGGAGGGGGCCGGGGCGCGCGCGCCGCCGTTGCTAAGGCCGGCGGCGAGCGCGGGGCCGAGGGTCCCTAGCAACGGGCGCGGGCGCGCACGGAGGGGGCGGGGCCGGGGCGGGGCCGAGGAGGCGCGCGGGCGGCGGGGGCGGGGCGGGCGCGCCGGGGCGCGCGCCGGCGGCCCGCGGGGATTTCCAGCGCGCGAGAGGAAGTGCCAGCGCGAGGGTGCGTGAGGCGGCGCGGCCGGCGGCCGCCGCGTGCGCGAGCCGGGTTGCAGCCCAGCAGGGACTTTCCAGCCGGCGGCGACGGCGGCGGCGGCGGCGGCCGCCGGCCCTTCCCCGCCCCCCGACATGGGGCTGCCCGGGGAGCTGGACGCTGCGGACGACGGCGGAGGATGCGCGCGGCGCCCCTGAGCCGGCCGAGCGGGCGGGCCGCGGGGTAAGGTCGGCGGGCCGGGACGGCGGGGCGGCGGGGCGGCGGGGCGGCGGGGCGGGCGGGCGGCTCCATCCCGGCGGCGGCCCGGGGCCCGGCCCGGCCGCCTCACCGTCTGCGGCGCGGCCCGCCCGCCCGCCGCGGCCCCAACTTTGGAAACTTTGCGTGTGGGGCCGACTCCGGGCCCCAGGCGCCGGCGCTTCAGGCCTCGCGCCGGAGCTGCCCGCCCCGAGGGCTGCTGAGCCGTCAGCATCTCAGAGGCCCCGGGCTTTGGCGCGGGACGAACGATCGGGTCAGGGCGTCCGCATCGGCGAGCGTGCTCGCCCTGGCTGGTGGAGGTGGGCTTTTGAGCCATTATTTAAAAGTTTATACTGAGTCATTGCTCTGCAGATGAATGACTGATTCACAGTCGGAGAGCTGCAGAGAGGCTGGAGGGCAGGCGGTTCTGGGATCCAGCTGGGGCCGAATACACACCTTCCACCTTCGATTAACACCAAAGGTCAGAGTGGGCTCCCCACGGGCGAGTCATTAAAACGATCCCTGCCGCGGGGCTTTGCAGGTCCCGGAGGCGCCAGGCTATGGCTCACGCACGTTTCGCCACGTTTCCACACTGTCATCACCCTCCTCCTGGGGACGCGGGGTTTCAGGATTACACCTTCAGAGAGAATTCTGCGTGGAAAATTCTTTGCCTTTTATTCGAAACGGCAACAAAATGCAAATGGGTGAAGTGTTGTGGACGTGCCCTGAAATCTAAGCATTTAGACGAATGATCGGTTGAAGGAACTGGTTTTATTTTCATGGCTTTTTGCATTGAGCTTTTTGACTCAGTTTTGAGAATGAAATAGAAGGGTGTGTGTGTGTGTGTGTGTGTGTGTGTGTGTGTGTGTGTGTGTGTGTAGTCTTAAAGGGTATATCGAGTGTTGTATTGGCGTTTTGATTTACATTCATTCACAGCATACAACTGAAGAGAAGCCATAATTATTTATTTATTTGTTTATTTATTTATTTTTTGGTAGCATTTTCTGTGGCTAGATGCACAAGTGAAATTTGGAAATGCTGCTTTGTGTTGTCTGAAAAATGCTTATGTGTAGAAATGTCCAGGTGGACCCTCAGAGGGGCTTTAATCTTACAGTGCTTTCCAGGTCTTGGAAAATGGCCTGTTGAAAATACTGCATCATTGTAGGGTGTCTGGCAAAATAGTGTACAGCCGTCCTTTATTCAAAGGACAGGAAATGTTTCCCTTTTCGCCATATTGTGACATCTTAAATATTAAGAATTAGTCTGAAGGTGAAAATTCCCCGGCCAAAGCAAATTGAACCTTTTACATGTGAAAACTGAGGGATTTATCCCAGGAGTCAGAAATCCTTGTGAATGGGAGCCGGGGATGGAAATCCAGATGGACCTTGGGTTCCAGCCTCACTGGCTGAGGAGATCTCATCACATCACGGACAAGGTTTAAGATGTCAGGTGTCTCATCCAGACACCTCAGTTCCAGCTGTCACAGTAAGAAGCCAGAGAAGCAGAGAGCTGGCCAGGGATAATCCCAGCATCTTTAAAACAAGACATCCATGTGAATTTTTCTGTGAGGGAAAAGAAGACCAATTATTTGTCTTGGATGCTATCCATTCTTTTTGGAATTAATAAGATGGCCTCAGCCAGAAGGCTGCAGAGACATTCCATTGGAAAGAGGCAGCACTCAGTTGTTTCTGCTACTCTTACTGGCTTCTGAAGGAAGTGCTTCCTTTAACTGGGTATTTGTCCCTGTGTTTGGGAATTTTTGTTTTTTTTTTCCTAAACACTTCTGCTAGAATCCCTTGGAAATTATCAGTGTGTCAGTCAAGAAGGACTTTCTGGGGTATTGTCAGGATAGATATGCTAATGAGCCCAAAAGATGAGCATGATTTATCATTCTCTTAAAATTCCAGGTCTTGGAAAATGGCCTGCTGAAAATACTGCATCATTGTAGGGTGTCTGGCAAAATAGTGTACAGCCGTCCTTTATTCAAAGGACAGGAAGTGTCCCAGCTCAAACACACAAAGGAGATTGCATTAAATTTGCCCATCTTTGCTTTCTCATCTTGTGTAGTAAGACTCTCCAAACAGCAGATGAGCTAACCTATCAAGTATTACACAACAATTCAGTTTCTCCTCAGTGGTCAATTTCAGGGTTATTAACAGAGAAGACTGGTGACTTAGTGTGATTTGTGGAGTCAGAGCCCCTATCTGCATCTTTTTAAGTATTTACAGGAGAAGAATTAGTTGTTTTTTTTTTTGTTGATGTTGTGTATGCATATGCTCATCACATTCCAGAAAGGGAGGGAAGCTGAGAAGAGAGCCTAAGTGAGGGAGGAGGTGAGGCCAGAGGATTTGGAAGGTGACCAGAGAGTGGCAGCCGAGGCCTGAGTATGGCATGGTGCTTAGGCTCTGAGCCAGAGTGAGGGAGGCCCAGAGGCCTGCAGACAGGAAGGCAGTAGAGCTGGGGATTGGTGTGGTCCCAGAAGAGCTAACAGAAAGAAGAAAATTCAATTCTAAAAGGAAAAGTATAGAAGAAAACATTACATTTATTTGCATAATTTCTATGATTCTTAAAGAAATACAAAGTGTGTTTCATTTTGGAAAGCCTTTATTGTTGGCATAATTCAGGAAAGAACTAGGATGAGAGGCCAGTCTAGGGTCCTCTCAAACGTAGAGCCTTTGTTTGGTGACACTTGGTGCCTATGGACATGGGTCAGCTGGCAGGAGGGGATTCACTAGTGCAAGTGACTGTTGGCTTCTGTCCCCACCCCCAAGGAGTCATATTGGCATTCGGGCAGGATGCATCCAGACAGGGATATTATTAACCGGGATTTGGGAGTCTTTTGCTCATTTAATTAACATTCAATTAATGTACCCAGCGTTCCCATAATCTAGTTACTCTGCTAGGATGAGTGAGACACAACACCTGCTTTTAGGGGTGTGATCTGTCGAAATCTGGGATACCTGGGTCCCTGTGCACAGTGAAGGGCAGTGCCAGGACCCACTTAAGATTTGACTGTGATACCAGGACAGGCCCTAAGGAAGAGTGAAGAAAACCCAACTCACCGTATCACCCTCAAAAGAGGTAACTCGTTATACAAGTAGTGACCAGTAAAAGCAAGGAAAGTCCACATATGTAGGAGGAAATGAATTAGTGGGTTGTATAGAAGTCTGCAAGTATGGGGTGGGGGTTGTGTTACTGTAAGAGAGGAGCTCCTGGTTGCCTGGACTAGTCAGGGAGGCGTCTGGGAAAGGCACCCCAGCTTAGCACAGTATTAGGACATCTGGTTCCACTTGTAGGGCTCTGAGGATGGCAGCAAGAGGCTCTTTCCTTCTGTGTCAGATGAGATCTGTTAGCTTGCCGCCCTGCTGCGCCCTGCAGGAATACGTGGTGTTGGTAGCGGATAGCCAGTTTATTGCTTGTGCTGCCCCCCAGCTCTTTCAGGCTTTTGTGTGATTTGGAGCTGGAGTAGTCTGGCTGTCCCTCACGAAAGAGCTTGGGTTGTTTTTGTTTGTGTTTTGTTTTTTTCGAGACAGGGCTTCTCTATATGGCTTTGGAGCCTGTCCTGGAACTCACTCTGTAGACCAGGCTGACCTCGAACTCACAGAGATCCACCTGCCTCTGCTCCTGAGTGAAGAGCACGGTTTGTTGGAGGGGATGGATCAGCGGCACCAGTTTGGGCCATAGCGCATTGCTGTGCCTACTGTTTGTCTTTGTAGGTCAGTGGTTCTCAACCTTCATAATGCTTCAGTCCTTTAATATAGTTCCTCACATGGTAATGACTCTCAACCATAAAGTTATTTTGTTGCTACTTCATAACTGTAATTTTGCTACTCTTTTTTTTTAACTTATTGATTTTATGTATATGAGTACTCTGTCTACATGCATGAATTTATGCCAGAAGAAGGCACCAGATATCATTACAGATGGTAGTGAGCCACCATGTGGTTGCTGGGAATCGAACTCAGGACCTCCGGTTCAGCAGCCAGTGCTCTTAACCACTGAGCCTTCTCTCCAGCACCAATTTTGCTTCTCTTATGAATTGTAATATAAATATATGATATGCTACACACAATGGGTTGTAACCCACATTTCAGAATCACTGTTGTAGTAGAAATTTTCAAAAACCCATGGTGGTGGGTAAGACAACACACTTCTCCCAAACCCACCACTCTGGTCCTTACTGGTGGACTTGGAACATTTTAATTCTCAAGAGATGAAATGTTGGACGCATACTCACGTGGGTTCTGCTGATTGAGTTCAGGTGGGCACAGTTACGTCTTTGGGTGGCAAGTGTCTTTACTCCTGAGCTGTCTCACAGTCCCCAGTGTTTCACTTGTGGGTTCATTTTTAAAGGATTTGTTTCATGTTGGTTTTAACCATTTGAAAATTAACTAGAAGCTAGTAAGATGGCTCAGCAGGTTAGCCTGATGACCTGAGTTTGATCCCTGGAACTCATGGTCAAAAGAAAGAGTTGGTAGAAGGAAAGAACGGACTTTTTTGGATTGCCCTCTGACCTCCACACATGTGCCTCTCACCCTCATAAAAAGTGTAAAGGATAAAAAAAGCTGAGGCTATTTGGTAACTCCTCATGAGACCATTTTACTAAAAAAGAGATCAGAGTTGCCATTCTGATTTCCCAATTTCCTCTCCAATTCAAACACTGATTACACATCCAGACAATAATGCCATGTTAATGAGAAGCCTGACATCTCTTAAGTGGCAAGAAAGGCTAGATTGAATAACCAAGTGGAATGACATGACCTTTTGGACAGTAGTAAGCAGCATTCCAGTGGTGAAATACATCTTTAGGAGTCATGATGATTTTTGTTTATTTTTGAGACAGGGTCTCTGTATATAGCCCAGACTGCTCTTGAACTTGGAATCCTCTTGTCTCAGCCTCCCTAGTGCTGAGTGAGTGAGCCACCATGCCTGATGCATCACAATATTTTTGATGAGGTTTTCCAAGATTACTCTGGAAGGCTAATGCCAATTTGGAGGCCTGCATGCACAGGAGGTAATTATAATTAGGTGCTTGTGACACTTCTTCTCCTTCTACCAAGGGTCAGGCACGTGGTAAGTGCTTGGTGAATGTTTGTATTCAGATTCTGCAAGGTAGGAAGAGAAGGAAATGACAGATGACCATAGTGTTTCATTGGGTTCCAAGTCTGTATTGTTTGGGCAAACCTAGTTCCTCCAATGATCATTTTCCTGGATGCCGCTACCTTGTCCTGCTGCTCTGATACATTAGCTGGAGTTACACAGTGGGAAACTACTTATTGCTGTTTGAAACAGGGGCTTTTTATATGTAGCCATGACTGTACTGGAACTTGCTGAGGAGACAGAGCTGTCTCTCTGTCTACCTCCAGAATACAGGGATTAAAGGTGTGCCACCAAGCTTGGCAGGGAAAACAACTTTGGTACAAACTTCTAACTTTCTTGGAAGAACAGGGAAATGAGTTCTTGGGAACGCTTTGCCCACTA